GTGATTTTTCAAAAGCACTTTAGAAAACTGATTCGGGCCGAATCGCAAAACAAACTTGTAGCCAATCAGCAATAAGGGGCGTGTCTACTCGTCTCGTGATGTGGAGGAGAGAGCTTTCAGTGCATGGGATGGACATTAGCCGAGCCGAGCGACAGAAAGATAGAGATGGCGGATAAAAAACAAAAGAGGAAAACGTCTGCGGAACGATAAGTCAAGAATTAGGACCCGTGTAAATATCGGATCAGCTTTCCAGCGCTGGAGAGAACTTAAGGAGCGGAGGCCTGCGATCGGACGCCGAGGTTGCTTTGTTTCTTCTCAATAGGTGAGTAACACCGTGTCTACAACAGCTAAAGTCTGCCTACACTGGATGCGTTCAAACGACCGTTGAAAACCATTTGAAATGTGTGTCAGCAGGTCATAAATAGAACCCGGCAGCAGTTTTCTGTCGGGGATTTGTTGCGCCACGCCGCTCACGTCCAATGTAGACACGGTGTAACATTGGTTTTGCTTTGTTTCACAGAACTAATCGTTGCCTGGGTTGCGTACATATATGTGGGGCGGAGCTATCAAAATAGGGGCAAGACCCTTTTGGCTACCAGAAATCGCTTACTCTGCCTTTAACACTTCAAACGATTGCTTCAAGCTAAATGAGCCCTCTGTTCATATTGCTTTACCTAGTGAAAAAAATCATTTTGTCTGAATCAGGAGAGAAATATGTGCAAATCAAACACAGTTTACAAGTGAAAACAGTCCAAAACAGTTCTAAACAAAAAAAAAAAGACTTTTTCCACTGGAGGAAGCTAAAAGTTAAAACTGTCTTGATGGATTTGTTTAGGTCTATTACAAACACAGCTTTTCACTTCACAAGATTGATCAACTGGAGTCGTGATGTTTTTTTTCTTCTGTTCTGAGAAAGAAACACACTCATCCACAGTTTGGATGTCCAGTTTTGGGCAAACTTTCATTTTGGGCGAAGCTAGAAAGTTGGAGAATTAATTCTTTCCGGTGCTGATGTCTGCCTGCAGCATGAGCATGACTGCAGCACTGGATCGTTCATGGAGTGAATAGCGCCCCCTATTGTTACTTAAGACAACAGGTGGTCATTTTAGCCACTGCCGGTGTTTAAGTTAAATGATCATATTTCTGCATTTCAGAAAAGAAAAGCTGTTCATATAATAACAGAAGAAAGAGAAAACAGGTTTTGTGGATGAAATGTGATTGACACGACGAATGAATACTACAAACAGTAGGCCGCCTAATCTAAAAACATAAAGCGTTTTCTGTACTTCATTGGATCCTGTCGTGGATTGTGGGCGTCATCAAGAAATCGAAAGTATCACGAAGTGAAACTGCGCGAGGTACCTGAACGTCTGCTGCTCACAGTACCGCGATCTGCTTGTCTGAAAATAACGAACATTTGCTTTCATTATGTCCAAATCCAAAGTGCTGAAGATAAACTCTGATAATGCAGTGAAGGCAAGTTCATCTCTTTAGTATTTACACGAAGTATGTATACACTAAATAGTATACACTGTCAAAAGAGTGCACTAAAAGTAAACGCGTTCGCGACTTGTGCTTTGACATTATTGCTCCACAATGTTTTAAAAGGGCTTTGTGCTGTTGTTTTTGGTAGTTTTTGAACATAAAACGCTGCTGGAGATCTCTGTTAATATGCTAAAAAATATATATATATCCTGAGTCACTTCCTCATCCACGAATGTTGAAAGTGAAAGTAAACATGGAAAGCGTGATCATGTTCATGGACAAAAAGATAATGTTTGAATTGTAATTGTACATTTATGTTTCCTTCGTCCAGATAGAAAACTACCGACAGTCACTGTATAAGCAGGTATGAATTCAATAATACACACATAGGCTATATTTGAGATCGTTGTTTATGGTTGTTTGTGTTGACAATATTGTGTTGACAGGCAGAAGACCTGTTCTCCAATCACATACCTCTGAAGATCTCACAGCTTGACAACCTGTTGAAGGTACATTTACCTTTGTTCATTTGGCAGAGGCTTTTATACAAATTGGCCAATATATTTGGGTATTCATTTATGTGTGTCCATGGGAAATGAGCTTGTGACGTTGGTTCTGCTGCCCAGGTTACCAACTGAGCAATTTAACCTTGACTTCAGCAACAATGAATTAAAATAATTCTCTTTTATGGTTTAGGGGGATGAGTTCAATATCACTGACCTCTCATCTCTCCATGCACCCCTGGACATTCCCATTCCTGATCCCCCTGCTCCGGAGGATGAGGTTGGCATCCAGCTTGTGATTCGTAAAGATGCTTTTTGAAATATATTTGAAATATATTTCAAATGCGGGGGGGAGGGACGACATTAAATAAAAATATTTAAAACATGTCTTAAAATATTTTAACAGGAGATGGAGACAGATAAAAATGAAGATGATGAGAAAAAGAAGAAAGGTAATTTCACACACACACACACACACACACACACACACACGTTTCCATGTTTTATGGGGACATTCCATAGACATAATGATTTTTATACTGTACAAACTGTACAAACATTTATAGATTTTCAAAACAATTCTGTAACATTCTGTATGATTTACAGTATAAGCTGTTTTCCTCATGGGGATTTCCACATGCAATCATGAGTACATGAATGACTGAGCGAAATTGTATTTATGAGTGGGAAATTTGTAAAGATGATACACAAATAACTGATGTTGAGAGAGGTGTGTTAATTTGAAACATTGCAGAAACACTGATCTATAGCTAATAATATAGATCAGTGGTTCTCAGCCTTTTTGACTCCAAGATCCCTCATTGTCCACAACAATACTTGAAGGGCCCCATCCCTAGTTTTGTTTTCAAAACTTATTTTAATCTACGGGTACTCCTGGTTTCTGTAAATTAAAACGTTACTAAAATAATTATAAAATTAAAATAGGAGCTGAATGTTCTTTAGGCAAAATTTTTATCCACTGATTAAATGAAGATGAATGTTTACCAGAGTTATATAAAGAAGAAATGTGGATAAAAGTGCCCTAAAGTTGCATATGTGCCCCAAACCATAACTGTGATGCATTGTTGTGATATGGAATACGGCATATTTTTGTAATGTTACATTTGTCTTTTGTCAGCTCCCAAGTGTGGCTTCATCAAAGGAAATGACCGGATTGTGAAGTTGCTGGATATTGTAAAACCAGAGATAATGGCTCTGAAGGAGACCTGCATCACTGTAAATAGGCAAAGTTTGTCTCATAGATAAGTTTTCAGCATTTTCCCAGATGTACAGTAGTGGCAGCTTTATTCTTTTATCATTTTCTTCCCCAGGTTTCTTGCTGGATTTCTCATCTAATTCCAAAACTGATTAAATGAAGATGAATGTTTACCAGAGTTATATAAAGAAGAAATGTGGATAAAAGTGCCCTAAAGTTGCATATGTGCCCCAAACCATAACTGTGATGCATTGTTGTGATATGGAATACGGCATATTTTTGTAATGTTACATTTGTCTTTTGTCAGCTCCCAAGTGTGGCTTCATCAAAGGAAATGACCGGATTGTGAAGTTGCTGGATATTGTAAAACCAGAGATAATGGCTCTGAAGGAGACCTGCATCACTGTAAATAGGCAAAGTTTGTCTCATAGATAAGTTTTCAGCATTTTCCCAGATGTACAGTAGTGGCAGCTTTATTCTTTTATCATTTTCTTCCCCAGGTTTCTTGCTGGATTTCTCATCTAATTCCAAAAATAGAGGATGGAAATGATTTTGGAGTTGCAATTCAGGTTATTAACCCTTAAAAGGCTCCTATTAAATGCTGCTTTATACTACATAATGTTTTTTTTTTCTAAATCTCAAAGATAAGCAGTGGTTAACATGACTGGTTGCTATTTTAGGAAAAAATCCTTGAGAGAATTACTGCTGTGAAGACGAAGGTGGAGGGTTTTCAGACCAACATTAACAAGTATGAGCAATTCCTAACTATTTCAGTACATTATGTTTACTGAAGATTGTAAAGGTGCAATATATTTTACACTGCCCACATTTATTCATTTTGTCATGTTGGTAATGAAAGTGTGTTTATCTGCAGGTACTTCTCAGAGAGAGGTGATGCAGTGGCCAAAGCTTCTAAAGACACCCACGTGGTGAGTGACCTATCAAATCAACTTATTAGTGTCATTATTTTTTTTGTATAGCCACAGTTATTAAATAGGGCTTTCAATACCATATTCTCAGGTTTTTGTCATTTAACCCTTTGATGCACGAGTTAAGAGGTCATTTGAGTACTCTGTGCAAACACAATAGTAGTAAAACATTGTGAACATTTAGCCCTCAAACATGAAATTGAGTATTTCAGAAATTACAGTTTTGCAAGAAAATGCGATTGCAATTTTCAGGCACGATAAACATCCCCACCTTTTAAGAATACGAACAGGCAAGTACAAAGCAATTAAATACATGCAATTATTAAAAATATATTATTAATTTCATTTTATCTGCAGTTTACTCTAAAATGAAGACGATTATTCCATGATTTGCATATTTAACTATTTGGGGATAAATCAGCAAATTTACACATTGACCTCATCACATCAGAAGTATTATAGTAGTTTCAAGTCACTTTCAAAGCCCTGTGAAACACTTTCATGCCCTTTTTGTGTAATAATAAAGAATATGTTTTTTTGACAGATGGATTATCGCTCTCTGGTGCACGAGAAGGATGAAGCAGCATATTCTGAGATTAGAGTGATTGTGCTTGATACACGCGGTTTCTATGTGAGTTGCTTACATTTATTCATTCAGCAAACAGCTTCTAAATGAGAAATGCTACAACACAAGCTTTTTTCATTTGAATCATGGTAGTTGTGGACACATCCGTATGGCTGTAGATTCAGATGTCTCTTGTTTCCAGGCTGAACTCTATGACGTCATCAGCAAGAATCTGGAGAAAGTGACGAATCCCAAAGGAGAAGAGAAGCCCTCCATGTACTGAGACAGATGCTTACTGGGAGCAGTGTAGTTCTACAACTAGACCAGTTTTCAGAATTTCTCATTTCTTCATTTTTGACACTCTACAGATACATCCCTGAAGCGGTTAATAAACTTAAGTCAGTCATAAACATACAGTGTGTCGTAGTACAAATGATGAGTTCAGGTAAATCCAAATGTACGTCTATTTCAGCATATACAAAATCAGGAAAACGCACAAATTCATAAATGTGACGTATTCTTAAAGCAAAGAACCACATTAAAACTGATGACTTCACAAAACATACTCGGTTTCTTCATTCACACTTCAGAAATATATATCACACCAAATGCTGTTACATTTGTAAACACTGTTACAAATGCTGTCAAACATACAACTGAATTCCAACTCAGTCCAATTTATTTGATTTGTTTTATTGTAACAAACAACAAATGTTTACAAAAACTTTTTGGATCACTTAAACAATAGAACTAATGTGGAAAACTCCCCTCATGAAATGGAAATGAATTTTTGAAAACAAGAAGTGATCAATTCTAAGTTTTTTTTTTTTTTTTATGAAACAAGAACATAAATTGTATATTTATTTTGTGGAAGGTGCGACACATTTCTCAAACTTCTGGTCCTTCTCCTCCTGGAATCAACTGGAAAACAGCAGAAACACATTATTTCATTACATTTGACAAAGTAATGTGTCATTTTGATTAGCATTCATCTATTAATGCAATTTCAGTTTGGTGTGTTTTGGTAATGTTTGAAATGGATTAATAATAATTCAATTAATTAATACTAATTCAAATGTTTCGGTAAAATTCGGACAGACAAGTATAGCCATTTATTAGGTTTTGTTTTATTGGTCTATCATAGACAATTATTTAATAGCATTCTTCCTTGTTTTTTTTTTTAGTAAAAAAAAAAAAAAATTTATTTCCAAATTGAAAAAATTGTTGTTACAACTTTCTATATGACCCAGCTTTACTGAATCCTAACAGTTGGTGGTCATTGTAAATGTAGTGCACTGCAACTTTCATTAACACATTAGCTACAAAAACAACTAACTTACATAAGAGCTTTACTCAATTTTATATTACTCGTATGCATATTCAAACAATTTAACCAATTAAACCAATCTCAAAGCAAATGTTGTCAATTCATTAAGTGTGATATATAGTGGATTGTTAGTTGATTTAAAGATGAACTCAATAATTGATCATACCATTGTGATGTTATTGCCATTGAGTAGAATCTGATCCAGCTTTGTGATTCTTCTTCCTTCTGGAGTGATTTCACTGACACACAAAAATAACTGTTGTTATGGCTCAGTGACATCTGAGATGAAGAATCATCTCTTCAAGTTTTCTGAAATGTAATCTCACATTCATGTTGATATCAAACATTTTTTGTAAAATGTTTTTCCAAACATGATTTCAGAATTCAATTTCAATTTGAGAAAACGTGGTGGAGCCACGTAAAAAGTCATAAAATATTTTCCTTACACCTTGAATACATAGGTGAACACTTCAAAAACGTATGTGTGCATTTTTGAAACATTATTATATAATAAATAATCAATGTATAACATGTACACCTGGCATGTTGGAGACAGGACACATGAATGCCATTTCTTGGGGAGCCAAAGCAAAGAGACTCATCATGCGACATATTAAGCCCCCTTTTCACATTATTTTCTGTTTATAACACTATTTTAAAGAAATACAAAAATTAGACATATTAACAACCTTGTTAATAATAAGAGCACCATGGTGTCTGACCCCTAAATATCCCAGAAAATAAATATAGCCTACATTAGAGTATAAATATATATTCACGCATATCATATATATTTAGTCATACATTTGAGGAGCAGTTAAAGTCAAAGCAGATGGGTGCATACATCGGGGAACGATAATAAAGAAATATATAAGCACATTTTTAGGTAGGAACATGTACTTACAACTCTGTCACATCCTCAAGAACCATGTCTGATTAAAGCAGTCAAGAAAATATATCTGTGGTACAGTCCTGCCACACTTTTTGAATTTAATGCACCTTCTCTTTCTTTACATCATATGAAATAAAGGGTAATGCAGACTTTATTTAAACTGTAACTAGAATGGCATTATAACAAAGAGTCTCTTACATTCATAGGACAAATAAATGCTTGCAAAGTGTTAGTATGTCCAGAGGAGTGAATGTGTAACAGTGTCATCAGCTCTGTACTTGTATTTTATATATATATAAAAAAAAATCTAATGCTAAAACATTAACCATCACAAATATGTGCCAGTGTTTCTCCAGCATGTAAAAGGATACTGACAAAGTCATCAAACCCGAGCAGAGTTCCCACAATCTCTTTATCGTTCTTCATGACAATGTGAATCCGTGAGCCAATGCATTTATCCACCAGCTCTGAAAGAGATCACAGAAGCCATTACAAACACAATCACAGACAACTGAAGCAGCACAAGACTGAAGCTATTAATGTCTGCAGTACATGTTGGGGGCAGTGTGAAATCTTCTAAATTTTCCATAGCACATTACAGTATACATCAAGACACATACAGTAAGTATCCCACAATACTATGTGCTTGACACTCCAAATCAGTGTGATGAATGAAGCAGAACTGACAAAAAAAACAAGATAGATCATTTTGTTATAACTGAAGCTTGTCAGTTAGCTACGTGTCAAATTAATATTAAGGTTTTGATCAACTTTAAATCAAAGAACGAACAGGTGTGACATCTTTTCGAACTAAATCTGGCAAAAATGAAGTTCTGTTGGAGTATCATCTAGAATTCTGAGTTTTCCACTTTTAAAACGGCTTGGTCATTCGTGTGCTTGTAGCTCGTAATTACGATATTCCCGACTACAACTGAAGAGTACACAAATTATTAGTGAACTAATGAAGGGAAGGGGAATGGCGTATGGGGGTGAATTCGATACAGCCACACTTTGTAACAGAATTTGCCCATACTCACTGCAGGGACGGATTTCCTTTTATATCTTAGGTACGAATCACTTAAATTAAATCCTATATTTAAATGATTAGACCTATGCATTTAGTATACACGTGTGTCCAATAAAATAAAACTATAAATAAAACGTACTGAGATTTGAATGCGCGAATTACACATGAATTACAACAAGTGCAAAAGTTCAATTAGTAAAGTAAATAATCCATTAAAGCGAAAGTCGCACATACCGAGAGGTAAAAGCTGCGAGGGATTCGTCGACGCGACTGCCGCCATTATCATAAACAGACCTTCTTCTTCTTCTTTTTGTTCAATGGCCGTTCACTCCTTAGGAGTATTACCGCCACCTACTGTATATCTTGCGCACATGGGTGATGAATCTGTACGATAAACAGACCTGAATAATCAGCAGTGAAAAAAATTACAGACGTGAGTAATCGATATTAGCAGCCATCGATGGCTGTATAAACACAAGAGGGTGCTGCTCTTCCGTTTGTTCGGATAGTAGTTAGTAGATGATAGACTTTTCTTGTAAAACCTGACCATGTTATGCATATTCTCTGTGATAAAAATTATTAGTATCCATTATAAGCTACTTTCAGTTTTTAACATTAAAACATTTAATTTGTACTTTAACAATTATTTCACACTTAAGAACTATTCAAGTAATTTAAAAAGATTTACACATTTTCATTTTGTTACAAAACTGTCCAATGATCATTTTTCTTTGCATGCATTGTTACCCTTTTTGTCACGGTAAGCTGCCAGACTTTTTCTTTATGATTCATGCACTACTCCTTACAAATTAGACAATGTGGACAAAAGCATCTGCAAAATTAATATATGCCAGTCTAATGGCCTGTAATGTGCATGGTGTATTCAAGATTACTGTGATTGTACTGTGATTTTTTACTTCTCCAGAGAAATGTACTTTGGTCTCCCACCAAGAGCAGGAGAATGTCCTTGAGAGCATGCAGCTTTCTTCAGACTGGAGATGCTGTTAAATTTTGAAACGATGCTCAAAATCAGGATATCTGGGACCCATGCACTGTTTATTGTAATACAGATATGCTGATGCCATCTCTTTTTTACTCAGCATGAACTTTCCAATAGTATGATATTGAAAAAAAAAAAAAAGATATTGTACTTATGTGAATGTCACAAATAAAGCTTTATAACTTTTTTTTTTAAATTAATTCTGGAAAGTTTTAGGATTATAATTATGAAATACTAATATTAAAATAAATACAATTCATAAAAAGAAGAGGAAACATTTCGGATTGTGCACTATTTATGGGTTATTAATCAAATGTGAGTAAGTGAGTGTAACTGATCATGTGATTCTTGGTCATTGTTATGGATTCTCTTTCAAACGTCTCAAAACCTAACAATGTGGTCATCATGTTTTATTTTGTCTGCTCTAGGGCTGCTGTCATTAAATGAATAGTTCAACCAAAAATGTGAAAGCATGATGAATTTGTTTAATTACAAAAATGTCTGATGTACACACAGTTTAAGTGTTGACCTTTTGTATGAGCTCTCCACACTCCAGCTCAGTTGGTGGCAGTGATGCGCTAAAAGAACAGGAAGAAGTCTGTTTCGTGATTGGGTGCATGTCAGCATCAATCTGATTGGCTGCAGCACACCGCATCGTGAACGAGCTAAAGCGCTGCATCATAAACTGAGCATTTTTTATCGCAGCAAACATAAAACACAATAAACAGCATCACTGGTTTATTTCTTTAGTGTCTAACTGTTAGCGAAGCCTTCTAAAGGTGAGTTGTATTCTTCAGGAATAAAATGTTTGACTTCATAATTAAATTGCTGTTCTGTCTGATGCTGAAACTGGTGTACTGTAGATACATTTGAGAGTGTTTTTTTTTAGTGTTAAAACACCAGGTGAAAATACCTTCCAAGACGCTTTGTGGAGGGATAAAACATTGATCTTTTAAATCAGGTTTTGAGACGACTCCCAAGATTGGACTCGGCCAAAGACCTGTATAACGAAGCAAGTTTGCAGGCCAGTGGTTTAGATTTTTATATTCCATGTCAAACCACGAAATAATCTTGTTTTATGTAAATCGCTGCTTCCAAGACATTAGAAACTTGGTTGTCTTTTGGCCTCATAGTTAGAAACTGCTGCTATGTCTAAAGAAATGTTATTACTGTCCTCTCATATTTAGAAACCGCCACTGTTATTACGTTTCGCTGTACTCGTAAAGGAATAACATAACCTGACTTCTGTGGACCGCAAATGAAAATATTTAGAAGAATGTTTTGGTTACTTGACCACTGTATAGACAAACTGAGACATTTCTCAAAATATCTTTTTATATGTTCCACAGGGGGGAAGTCAAACAGGTTATAACGACATAAGGGTGAGTAAATGGTGACAGAATTTTCATTTTTTTACTGAACTATGGCTTTATTTTTTTAAACTATAACATTTTTTAACAAACAACTAATTTAACACAAATTAATTTGATTTCATTATCAGGATATATCACAGCTATGTGTGTGTGTGAGTGTGTGTGTATATATATATATATATATATATATATATACATACATACACATACAGTTTTGTTTTTTACCAATTTTGATAACACAGCTAAACTAATTCTAGGCTAACTTATAGAAGTAAAATGACTTCGAATTTATTGAAGTCAAGTAAACGGACAGCAATTAAAAAATAAATAATACAATTCAGACGTGTTTCCTCCAGTCCTGACTGACTGTTGAAAGTGTTTCAGTCACATTGGTGTCTTTATATGATTGGCCTCAGGTCACATGTGATCCAAGTTGAACAACATCTTTATAAGAAAATCTCTGGCTGTATCCACATCTTTATCACATCCATGTCTTCTTTACAGATGTCTTTCCATGCTGGCCGTGGATGTCCGAGGGGAAGACCAGCAGCTCCGGGTCCAATGTATCAGCCCGCTCCCCCACGGTATCACTACGACCCTCCAGCCGCTCACGGTCCCATCTATAACCCTCAAGGCGGCAGTGGCTACATGCCACCTCATCCCGACTTCATGCCATTCCATTTCCCTGCACCATCACATGGCTCTAACGCTCTGCCCCAATGCCCCATACGTCCACCGGTCTTCCCAGAGCCGCCCCCTTTTCCTCCACTTGCTCCTCACAACTCCGACAGCTCCGTTCCAGTTCCAGTTCAGAGCTCTTACCCCTACATGATGCCCACCGTCACCCCTCCACCCCTTCCACCTGTGCCACCCTCAGTGCCACCTGCCATGCCCTACCCGCCATCATATCCCATGAGCTACCCTCCACAGCCACAGCTCCCTCCTCCACCGAGCTTCAACCCAGCTTACGTGCAGCCTGGAGGTTCCTTCAAACCTGAACGCTCCCGCCCACCTCTGCAGTACAAGGCAGACTCCTGTTCTCGCTCACCTGAAAGACTTCGTCACCATGATGACCACCGGCACAGTGGCCACAGCTATGGAGGATATGGAGGCCGACATAACCGAGAGTTTGGAGGAGAGAAACGGGACAGAGGGTGCAGTTCAGAGCGCAGGCGGTCAGACAGCCCACGGTGTAAGGTGGACTATGACCGAGGACGCGTGCCGTCGAGACACCGCAGCAGGTAACACATGTTGCTGCTTATCAAAGTTTAAATTTGAAATTATTTTTAAATATGAACAGTTAAGAGTATAAAATTGTGAACGTGTTCATGCTAATGTGTTTCATAAGTAATAAAATGAAGAAAAAAAAAGAAACACATTGCATGTAATATTACAAGTGGCATGTCTATTGCAATTAAACTGCAAGATGTAATGGAATGCACAGATCTCTTTTGACATTGATAGATAGATAGATAGATATGATAGTAATAATTTTAATCATAGTGATTTCAAATATGGTTGGCACTCCCAAAACTTGTTAACTTTAAAACTTTATTCAAATTATGAATAGGTTATATAAGGATAGCTAGCAAAGAGATTTCCCTTTATAATCACTGAATCTGATATCACTTTAAGGGGAAGTTCACCCAAAAATGAAAAATCTGTCATCATTTACTCACCCTCAAGATGTTCCAAACCTGTATGAGTTTCTTTTTTCTGTTAAGCACAAAAGAAGATATTTTGAAGAATGTTGGTAACCAAACAGTTAACTGTACCCATTGAGTCCATAGTATGGCACATTATAAAGAAAAGACCCCTTTCAGTCTCCCTTCCCCTAGCCAGCCAGTCGTGGACTGACTTATTCAAATTGACCAAGCAACACAATTTTACTGCATTTTTTTTTTTTTGTGATTTCAGTTTAGTTGTTTAAACCTCTCCACAGCTTTTATACACTTGGTTCAATAAGTACTATTGCTGGGTTGCCTGTTACTGTATTGTTTTTACCACAGTAATATTGCCTCCATCCACCAGAGAACGCTATCGGCATAGAGATGAGCCAGGTTCATCCCCCTCAGACAGACACAGGAAACACATTCGCAATCGCTCAGGCAGTCGAGAGAGAAAGCGCCGACGTGTGGAGGAGGAGAAAGGGAGGAGAACAGACAGCGCCTCAAGCAGTCGAGAGAGATCTGTAAACTACAGCAGGAGTAGAGATGCAGAGGAGACGTCTACTGACCGCCACGAGGAGGAGAAAGGAGAGGAGGAGTTACTCAAACCTGCTTGGATCCGCTGTACACATGCTGAGAACTACTACTCAAACGATCCCATGGACCAAATGGTAATCAACAATAATTAACACAACACAAACTGCGGACAAGCAGATAGTCCTGACCCAAATTCAAAAGTGTAAAGTTGACATGTTGGCCTGCTTAAGCAAACAGATCATTTTTTGAAAGAGTCACAGTGTTACAAACTTCAGGAAGTAAAAATAACAAGGATTTACTAGTGACTCTGAACATTAAACTGACATTTTTACAAATTTACCACAAAATTGCACTCTACTCCTTTAAAATGTACAGTAAAGAGTTTTGTACTAAATATTGGCATCATGACCAAAACATGTCAGATACTCAAGAGCTGTTTCAGGAACTGTTTCTTATCATTTTTATTCATCTGTAGGGTGACTCTACAGTCGTGGGCACTAGTAAGTTGAGAGATCTGTATGAGCGCTTTGAGGAAGAGCTTGGTCGGAGGCAGGTGCGGGCCAAATCCAGTAGGCCTAAATGGGAACCACCCAAGACCAAACTGGACCAGGATCAGGGTATTGTGTATTTTACTATTTCAGATGTGTACAGTATATTTTATAATATAACATTTGCCAACATTATAAACATGAACAATCTGCAGTGAAATCATGAAACTGTATATGTCTTTATATCTTTGCAATTGTATTTAAAAT